GGTCAAAGAAGGCATTATCTCGGGGCACGTTATCTCTAAAAGGGGAATTAAGGTCGACAAGGCAAAAGTCGAATTGATCTCTAACTTTCCTCCTCCAAATTCTATCCGACAAATCCGTTCCTTTCTTGGTCATGCCAACTTTTATCGCCGCTTCATCAAAGATTTTAGTAAAATATCCCGGCCCTTGTGTAATCTTCTTGCCAAGGATATTCCCTTCAATTTTGATGAAGCATGTTTGGAAGCTTTCAAGAAGCTTCGTACTCTTTTCTCTTCAGGCCCAATCATGAAACCACCTAATTGGTCTCTTCCATTTAAGATCATGTGTGATGCATTCGATTATGCATTGGGCACAATTTTGGGCCAGCTTGTGGACAAGCTACCGCATGCTATCGATTATGTTAGCAAAACTCTCTCTAACGCTCAATTGAATTACACCACCACTAAAAAAGAGTTGCTAGCTGTGGTGTATGCCTTGGATAAATTCCGTTCTTACCTTCTTGGATCCAAGGTCATTGTCTTCTCGGACCATGCCACTCTTAGGTATTTGCTCACCAAGAAAGAGACCAAACCCCGGCTAATTTGATGGATACTCTTACTCCAAGTGTTTGATATTGAAATTTGGGATAAAAAAGGGACAAACAATGTTGGCGCTGACCATCTCTCTCGTTTACTCATTGAGAAATCTTCTGACTTTGCTACAGTTCGTGATTCCTTCCCGGATGAGCAACTGTTTCAGATTTCTCATACAAATCTTCCTTGGTTTACAGATATTGTCAACTACCTTACGGTAGGAAAAATTCCATCCAAATGGTTCAAACAAGAGAAAGACCGGTTCTTCTCCCAAGTCAAAATTTTCTTTTGGGAAGATCCGAAATTATTTAAGTATTTCCCAGACCAAATCATCCAGTGATGTATTCCCGAAACTGAATTCTCAAGTGTCTTAAATTTTTGCCACACTCTTGCGTGTGGAGGACATTTCAGCGCTAAGAAAATTGCTGACAAAGTCCTTTAAAGTGAATTTTATTGGGCCTCTCTGTTTTGGGATGCTTACAATTTCTGCAAGTCGTGTGAGCATTGCCAAAAGCTCGGAGCCATGTCTAAAAGAGACATGATGCCCCTTTTACCCCATCTTAATTATAAAAAAATTTTATGTATGGGGAATTGACTTCATGGGACCGTTTCCATCCTCTTATGGCTATGAGTATATTCTCGTAGCGGTGGATTATGTGTCTAAATTGGTTTAAACTAAAGCGACCAAAACCAATGATCATAAAGTTGTGGTCAAGTTCGTTCAATCGAATATCTTCAGTCGATTTAGTACTCCAAGAGCCCTCATCAGTGACGGAGGATCTCATTTCCGTAATCGCTATGTCAAATTTGTCATTCTTAAATACTCCGTCATTCATAAGGTTGCACACCTTACCACCCTCAAATGAGTGGTCAAGTGGAACTATCTAATCGTGAGATCAAGCATATTCTAGAAAAAACGGTTCGACCGGACACAAATTTTTAAGAGTAAACGAGAGAGATGGTCGGACAGAAAATGTTAGCGCCGACAGGTCAAAACTTTCTCTTCAAAAGCGGGACTCCTAGCATTTCCTTGAGAATATGATGGTTGATTAGGAAACTGAGAATTAGCAAATTGGTTTCCTTATGATTGAAATGGTCTATATCCTTGGGAACCTTGGCTTTGCATTGGAGGTGGAACATATTTCCCTTGGCAACTACCTTGGGGAGGGTTTGAACCTTCCCCTTGGTTTCACCAAGAGAAATTCGGGTGATTCCTCCAACTAGGATTATAATGATTGCCATAAGGATTAGGGTAAAGTGCAATAAACCCCCTTGAACTATACCCCAATGAGCACAAAACCCCCTTGAATTTTTAAAGTAGCATTTAACCCCCCTTAACTTAGGAGTTTGATGGCAATTTACCCAATCCGACCACCGGCAAAAAATTTCGCCGTTAAATTGAGTCCCTGAATACTATAGATAAATTAAATGACCATTTAACCCTTATCATACAAAAATACCATACTACCCTTATATTATACATATTGTTACCCATTCAACCCAAAATCCCAAAATCCCTAATTCTTCTCTATCCTCTTCAGTCTTCACCAAATTTTCTCTCTCTTCTCTATCTCCATTGAAGACCAAAAACAGAGCTGTTCGTATTGCCAATCAAAAAAAAGGAGTAATAAAGAACAGTCTAAAAGTGAATTTCAAAGATTGAAGATTTGGGTGTATTTTGTAATCCCTTCATGTTGTGAATTGGCACAACAGGCAGGAGAAAGTAGAAACAGCAAATGAAAGATTACCGAACGGCGGGTTAGTGGTTGCATGCCCAACTTCTCGAACGGATCTCTCTAAATATCTTGGTTCTTTCCATTTCCCCTCCACCAAACGAGAGCGGCGTGTACACCAAACCGAGAGCGACTTCCACACCATGAACTTCTGCGATGGCCTTGATTGGAACACCACGGCGATTTTTGTGTTGCTGTGACAGAATATGAGCAGGTCGTTTTTGTGACCTGCTTCTCGCCGTGGATGGTAGTGACCTTTAGGTTGCTACATGTTAGAGGATGGGGTCGCCAGTACTGTAGTGACCCAGCAAGCTATGGAGGACATGGGTTCCTCTGTATTATATCTCTCTGTGTGTCCATCTCTCTCTATATTATATACACATATACAATATTGATATTTTGTATTTTTTTTTTTACAGTATGAGTTCCTCTATATCTTCTTATATATGTATACATAGTTTAATTTTGGTTGTGTATGTGGCGCGCGCACACACACACATATATATATACACTGATGTGTAGTATTTTCTTTTACAAAGACTGAGTTCTATTGGTGAATCATCTTTGAGTATTCGAAAGGGTCTTTTCTAGAACTGGAGATGTTTTGTCGTGAAAAGGTAGCCGTGTACATTTCTGATTCCAAAAACAATATAGGTTTTTCCCTTTTTTAAGTGCAATGCGGGTACTTGCAAGTTTCAGGAATGGTAGGTTGCTTCCTTGCACTATGTTATCAGTTTAAACTGTTAGCATATCCTCGAGTTAATTTCAATCTGTTAGGACTTTGAACATTTAGCATATCCCTGGGTTACTTTCAATCTGTTTGCTATTGGTGACGCTATACAGAAATAAATCAATGCCCAGGCAAAAAAAGAAAGTGAAATTTAGCCTCAAATCAAATTAATAAAGGTGATCGGTTGAAAATTTGGGCATTGTTTCTATTTGAAGCTTCACGCTTTACAATTCATGATGCTGTTTTAACTGCCAATTATGGTAATTTGATTCTTCATCACATATCATACATGTCCTTAACTTGATGGAGTGGGGATTTGAACTTGGGCTATCACACCACATCCAGCTATTGTGTTGATCATGGCAATTGACCAAAAATGAGAATTTGACCTAATTGAGTAATTAACCTGCTGCACATAGCACCTAACCAAAACTGGTAATTTGACCTAATAGAACAATTTACATGCACTTAGCTACTACACATATATTCTGCACATAACACCTGCACATATATACACTAAGTAACTACTACACTAATCTACTATTCATATATCCTATATTTAGTACACTTTATTGCACATATCATTCATCAAATTCACTTACCACCTGCACATGATACACACAAATATTAAGTCACAATATTAATTCGCATAGTGCACTAGCAAACATAAAATTTAACAACACAAACATTAAGTAACAGTCTTCAAAGATACTGAACTTTTATTACATAACCAAATTAATCTTAATGTTTCTATATCCCAGTCATCAGTACTTAATTAACAGAACATTAATATTTGGTCATTCTTCTTGTCAACATAAACAATAAGACAAAAAAATGATTTAAAGGTCATTCATGTTAACAAAAGCCATTAGTTCAGTACCATCAACCACCCAAAAAACTGTAACCATCTTCACTACCAACAAGCATAGTCATTGTCCATCATTGACCTGTGAAAGCATAAATTACACATGTTCAATATTTAAACAAGTTTCAGTAGCTACCTAAATAAGAAAAATAATGAAACACACCTAGAAGATGAAGCCTGTGTTGATGCCAGCTGAGAAAATGTTATGTTTTGAACCTATTATGAACATACACATGTGAGAAGGTTTGGAAATCACCAGCAAAGAACTATATTTACCGGAAAAAGAAAAAAAAAATTAATTAAAGTGTACCTCCTGACTCTGATTTGAAGGTACTGTAGTAGGAATTTCAGTTCTAGCAACTCTTCCTCTTTCACCCCTCCTTCCCCTTCCTCTCACTGGTTGTCCTTTTCCTCTGCCAATAATTGGTGGTCTACCTCCCTTTTTTGGTGGAGGTTTCTCAATGACCAAAGGTGTAGAAAGTTTACAAGTCCTTGAGTTATGACCTTTAACCTGGCACTTTGAACATTTCAGCTGTTGCTTTAACCTACTAAGCTTAGTTGAAGTATTAGTTGAAGTACTGGGCTCATCATTTTTCTTGTTCCTAGCCTTCTTTGGTCTTCCAGTGGGTTTCCTAAAGGTTGGTGGAAGCAATGGGTTGGAGGGTTGTGCTTTCAACAACTGTCTCATAGGGAAAGGATGTATTAAACCAGAATAGGCCTTCAAGTATGTTTCCCTATAATAATATGGATCAACATATGACTCAGGCAGGTCCTTCCTTAAAAATATGCATGCTACAACATGCCTACAAGGTATACCAGTCAAATTCCATATTTTGCAACTGCAAGTTTTCTTCTCAAGATCAACTGCCTCGCCAATGCCAAAGCATTCAACATCATACTTGTTATGACCAGCATAAAGAACCTTGCACATCCTTGCTTGCCTTTTCACTTTGTTCAAATTCTTTTGAATTTCTGGACACAATAAACCATCCTTTGATTCCATCCATTCTCTTTTCTTTTGGAACCTCAACATTAAATGTCTTCTGATCCACTCCAACATGTATATAATTGGTTTGTCCCTTGCTTGAAGGATGACAGCATTCTAACTCTCACACATATTATTGATCACCATATCACTTTTTGATTGATATGTGAATCTTGATTTTGACCATAATTCAGGTGGCACATTGTGAAGCCAGCCATAAGCTTCAGCATTCAACACCTTGATATTCCTCATATGTACATCAAAATCAGTTTCTGTGAAAGACCTTGCTGCTTCCCACAACTCATTTTTTAGTTGTTGCCCTTTGAACCTGAGTTTGAAGTTCTTATATAGATGCCTCACACAATATCTATGGTTTGACCCATCCATTATGTTCTCAAAAGTGTCAACCAGACCCTGCATTCACAAGAAAAATATTTCAATTCTAAACTAACAAAATTTTTAAATCACATATAAACTGAATAATGTTAAATATACTTACTTTTTGTCTATCAGATATGAATGTGATTTCTTGGTAAGGCCCCACAGCATCCATGAGCTCTGACATAAACCAACTCCAAGAATCCCTTGTCTTAGACTCAACCACAACAAAGGCAACTGGGAACATTTGTTCATTTCCATCAATAGATACAGCACTGAGAAGGTGACCCCCATATGGTCCCTTTAAGAAACAACCATATACACCAATTAGTGGTCTACACCCTTCTTTAAAACCCTTTCTCATTGCAGCATAACAAATAAAAACCCTCTGAAATTTTCTCACATTTTCTTCAGCTGTGGGCTCAGTTTGAATTTTAACTACACTGCCTGGGTTTGATGTAAATATCAAATGAGCGTACTCCCTCATCTTTTCATATTGTTCTACTTCATTTCCCTCAACAACATCTAAAGCCTTTCTCTTTGCTCTTCTTACTTTGTAGTCTGACACATCAATATCCAACTCACTTGCAATAGTACGCTTAAGTGTATTTGTTGGCATGCCTGGATTAAATCTCACTTGCTCTAGATACTTATTTGCTAAGTAGGTAGATGTGGCTTGTCCATTTGTATGAAACCAAAGGCAGTTATTATGCTCTGGAACATATGTCTTCACTATTATGCAATCCTCATCGTTTGGCTTGCTTGCAAATATCTTCCAACCACAACCCCCCTTACATACTACAGAAATCCTATCCCCATCATTTCTTTTGAACTTCAAATCAAACCTTTTCTTCACTGCTATTTCTCTAAGTGCTAGTCTGAAATCTACAGCTGTCGCAAATTTCATGCCCACTGCTATTTCTTTTTCCCCCAAATCCTTTGAAGGAATAAATTCTTGGTGCTTAGGACCATTACCCTCATCATCATCTGATCCACATGCACTTATCAACTCATCAGTAGGAGCATAATCAGATTCAACCTGTGCAAAATCTGTTTCAACTTGTACATAATCATCAGTTGAAGTTAAGCCCTCATTTTCTGCACTATGTGTTGAAATTGAAATTTCTTTCCCTTGCAGATTCAACATAGCTGCAACAATGTATAACTTGACCAGGTTGCCTTCCCTCTGAGCTTCATAGTTATAAAACATCCTTAGTACATCTAAATCACATCTGACCTCTCTGAAGCAATGCTTACCATTTAAGAATGGTACTTTATAAAACACTTCTTTGATATCCCCACATCCCAAATTATTTGCCATCTCTTGGATATCAGTATAAGTCATAAGGTATGGGTCTACACTTTCAATGAAGGATGTAGCTTCTCCTATGTATGTGATATGGGGTGTTTTTGAAAAAAGACCTCCATAATGAAGCTCAATACTGTAAAGGTGCATCTACAAAATTTGTACAAGACAGGTAAGTACTTTAAACACACTAAAGAAGTAAAAAGTGGAAAGAAAAAAAAAATAGTGACTTAAATGCAAGCACTTTAAAGGTGCATAAAGACAAACAATAACTTTGAAGTGTAGGATAGGGTCAATGGTCACAAGTGCATTACAAGTGGACAGTTTCGAAAAAAAGAAAAAAAAAAAAAAAATCAAACTACATTTAGCATGACCACTCAATCGCAGGGTAACAAATTCAATAGCAACTCCACACTTCAATAATTGAAAAGGACCTAAAATAAATAAACAACAAAGACCATTCAATCACAATCCAAACATACAAATGATTTTACTAGGGACCACTAATGACCAAGTTGTTGCCTACTAAAAACATTATTGATGTCTGATGCAAAAAAGAACAAGCTTTTGGTACAGAACTTTAAAAGTAGATGCTTTCAACACTATATAACAAAACATGGAAGAATCTAAAAGTGACAACATATGCAAATACACAATCAAATTTATGTCGCCCAAAACTTAGTAAATCACTACTCATTTTTTTTGCAATTTTTACTTAATATGTTTCAGTTGCTTAAATTTTCGAGAGAGAGAGAGAAAAAAATAAAATAAAATAAATCTTTCACAGGTCATTCACAGGTGGAAAAAAAAATCAAATAAAACCAAACATCTTGGATTAACATACTAAACCCTAACATAGAACAATTTTCACAAAAACTTAGTAAATCACTACTCATTTTTTTTGCAATTTTTACTTAATATATTTCAGTCGCTTAAATTTTCAGGAAAAAAAAAAAAAAAAAAAAAAAAAAATTCTTTCATAGTTGAAAAAAAAAAAAATTCAAATAAAACCAAACATCTTGGATTAACATACTAAACCCTAACATAGAACAATTTTTAGAAAAATTTAGTAAATCACTACTCATTTTTTTGCATATTAAATCAATATTAACAAACTAATGTGCTAGGGTTTAGAGCTTTACTGAGTAACCCTTGAAGATCAAGACTGAAGATCGAACGAAAGCACGAATTTGATCCTGATCAATAAAGTTTTATCTCTCTGTATTCAATATATGAAAGCCTCTGTTGATATTATACTCCGTAAATGGGGTGAATGAATAGTGGTTGGTGATAAGAGTGTCAGTTACAGTGATAAGGGTGAATGTGTGTCAATCATTAATTCACTGCCTCCATAAATAAAAATGGGTCCCACATCAATTTAACAATTTTATTACTTATATTTTTTTTTATCTGTTTTATTACTTATATTGATGCGTTTTATTGAAGGGATAAAATGGTCTTTACACATTTCCGATTACAAGATGTCACCGGCAAAACTTTCTCTGTCCTAAAACTTAACTAAACTCATAGTTTGGGGGGGTTATTTGTAGTTGAGGGGGGTTTGTTGCACCTGGGGTATAATTCAGGGGGGTTTATTGCACTTTACCCTAAGGATTATTCCCTTGATTAACAAAAATTGCATTGACTTGTTCATGATGCTCATTTTGCACATGTCCATGGGGACAATTGGAAGTAGAATGTAAAACACTTGAACAAGTCATACATGTCTCATTGGATGCATGATGGGAATGGTTAGGGACGGAAGATACTTGATTTGTCGAGTTTTGGTTGATCAAGAATTGATCAAACCTTTGAGATAAGGATTTCATCTCAGCGACTATTTCATTGGAATAGTCAACTTGATGTAAGTCAACACTCTTCCTTCCACTTGAATTCCTACAACTATTGGAAGATAAAGTTCAATGCAAAGAATTTTCACTCATGCTCTCATAAAGACACCACACGTCATCCTCATGCCTATCAATGTAAGAGCCACCTATGGAAGCATCAACCATGCCATTGTAATTGTCCGATAAGCTCTCAAAGAAATATTGAACTAATTTCCATTTGGGCATGTCATAATGTGGACACTTCCTAAGCAATTTTTTAAATCTTTCCCATGCTTCATGGAACGTTTCCCCATCCCCGTGTGAAAACTCTCAAATTGAGGTTCTCATGGCCTTGGTCTTAGAAATCGGATAGTACTTTTTCAAGAACTCTTGTTGCATTTTTACCCAAGAAGTTATTGAAAAAGGCCTAAGATTGTTAAACCAATATTTTGCCTTGTCTTTAAGGGTGAATGGAAAAATTTTAAGCCTTAAGACCTCTTCCGGCATGTCCGTGTATCTCACGGTGGAACATACTTCAATAAACTCATCCAAATGCTTGTAAGGTTCTTCACTTGGGAGTCCATGATAGTTAGGAAGCATTTGAATAGTTTATGGTTTGATCTCATAATGGTGTGCTCTAAATGGTGGTAATTGAATGCATGTGGGTGCATTGTATTCATAAGGCACATAGTGATCTCTTAAAGCAAGGGGAGGATTAGCAATTGGAGGTGCAACATGGGCACCTTGATTGCCTTGAATGATGGGAGGTGGAGGAGCATAGATTGGCCTTGGCATTCCCAATGGAACTTGGCCTTGTTGTTGTTGTGGGTGAACAAATGGCCTCGGCAACCTAATGGCACTTGCATGTTATCATGATGCACATTGGGGTAGAGGATACCTTGTTGGTCTATATGACCAAGGTCCTCCATATGGTCTTTATTATGTCCTTCCATTGATGAAATGGATTGACCAGAACTTCCTCTTCCCCTAGGGTTTCGAACAACGGATTCAAGATGAAAATTTAGAGGGATAAGAATGGGTCTTAATGATCTACGACTATGCATGCACAATACAACACAACAAGCAATAATGACAAACACTTCACCTTCACAACAAATCAACAATCAACAAACTTCCTCCACATACAATGATCCCATACTCCCATGCTATTAACAATATGCAAAGAAAAGTAAATTGCCTCCACATGGGCTCACGATTTATCTAAGAATTGAAATATAAGCCTCCACGTAGGCCGACGATTTAACTAGAGATTGAGTTAAGAAAGAGCTCACAAAGGGTCCTTTAGCACTTCAATTTAATTTCAATTTTTAGCCTTGCAAATTTTTAGAATTTTGCCTTTTTCTTTTGCTTTTGCTTAGCTCCTTGCTTGGAATGCTCCTTTGCTCATCTTCTTGCTCAATGCACCTAGTCAAACAAAAACCAACACAATAAGTAACCAAAATAAAAACAAAGTAAAGACATAATCAAAAGAGTACTAATTCCTAATTGATTCCACAAATACGACGTTGCCTTCAATCAATCCCCGACAACGGCGCCAAAAACTTAGTGGTTGTCGCACCCCAAACCCAAAATTTGTGCACCAAAAGATAGTGGTGTAGAGCTATGATGAATGTGCCCAAGTTTTACATTTAGAAATTGCCACTACTACCTTTAACTAAAAATATAGCTAGGGCAAGTAGGGATCGTCCCAAAGGATTGGTGGGTCGTACTAGGTTGTAGAGTCGAGATTAGGGTTAGTAGGTCGAGTGATCAAAAGATTGGTTGGTAGTTGAATTATACTAAGATGCAATTTAAACTAAAGTAGAAAATTAAATGTAATGGAGAGAAAATAAGAGAGAGATCTTGGGATTTAGAGGTTACCACTAAGCATAGCTTTTCTACACCCTTAGTGAATGATTAATGAGGGGGAAAACATGTATTGCAACATAATGTGTGTGTGTGGTTGTTTCAACAAGCATGGATGACAAATTAAGCATATATTGTCTAAAGCAACATAGTGGATAGCACAATATATCAAATTAAGCCATTAATTCTTTCTTTAAGCTCACAATCCAAACACATCACAAGGTTAGAGATATATGCTACTTGCTTTCATTAGTATGGAACATCAAACAACAAGCATGGATTGTCCTCCCATTTAACACTTAAACTACAATTACACTACAATTAAGATAATGACATGAAATTAAACTAATTAAACTATGGGAGAGGCACAATCCATCAAGAAATGAGTATGAACCATCAAATAAACCACAAGAACATTCCATTAAGCACTATGTCTTGACAATCTCTAGATTTATAGCATCAATATACATAGACATGCATCAATAACACAGGAAATAGAGATAAACACATGAACATCTATTCTAGCATACATAGACATATGGATAGAATGAAATGATCAATTAGAAGCATTAAACCACATAAATCATTGAATAAACAAGATCTATATATATATAAATGTCAAAACATGTATCACAATACAAATCTCCTAAAAAATACATAAATTAAGATGTAGAAGGCATGCTTAGGGCTAACTTTAGCCCCAAGAGGATGTCTAGTCACTCATGGATGGTGTCCTCCAACCCTCAAGGGCTAACTCCATGGTAGAGATTGCTCCTCTTCTTGGTTGATAGAAGAACTCCAAACTTGTGTCTCTAGCCTCCTCCTTTCTTTTCTTCCTTACTAAGAATATGAAAATTGTGCCTCCTCTCTATTCTAAAGTATATCAAGTATATCTCAAAAAGTGGCTCATATTTCTTATATAGGTAGGTCAAATATCATCCCAAATGAGTTGGGCTCGTACACCAATATTCCTTCCAATGATTAGATATGAGACAACTTTTAATGAGCTAGAATTTAAATTTTCTCGGGATTAGGGGAGTTCGATCGATCGAACTTGTGGTGAGATCGATCGAACATGGCTGAGATCTATCAAATTTAAGCTGAATCGATCCTCTATGGCGGCGCCTTTTTTGATAAAAACAAATCTGAGATATTTTGAAGATAGTTTTGGGAAAGAGACAAATGTGGTAGGTAGGGTGGTATAAGTGGATAAGATGGAATCTTTTCGATCGATCGGAAGAAAGTTGGATCGATCGAACTTTGTGGGATCTTTAGATAAGGAAAAAAGTGCTTGGATCCATCTTGGAATGCAGAGATCGATGAACTTTCGATCGATCGAATATTTTCTGAGATCGATCGAACTTGCTGAATTTCCACCACTTGCTTCCTTTTGCTCCCACTTTGCTCATTTCTTTATTCATCTCAAGATTGCGTCAATTATGCTCTTATTTAGCT